CTAGAAATCACCCCCCCCCCAGGGGGAATGGCCACACCACAATCCCTTCTCCTCCATTCTCCTGTCAGGATCTTGGGCACACACGCACACGTGCCTGGCGTGAGTTTTAAGCCACCGGGTCTGGGACACGAACCACGGTCGACTACACGGGAGTCCACCGACATAGGCATTACACTAACTGATGGTTCCAAAAGCCAGAGTTTTGTTGTTGTATTTTTTAATAGCTGAATAGTATTCCATAGAGTATATGTGTCACAGCTTTTCAATCCATTCATCTGTTTGTGGGCATTTCGGTTGGTACTGGTCAACTTTTTCTTAAGGAACTAGATAGTATTTTAGGTTTTACAGGTTATACAGTCTCTGTTGCAACCACTCAGCTCTCCTATTGTAACTTGAAAATAACCATAGACATATGTAAATATCATGTGGCTGTATTCCAATAAAACATTATTTATAAAAACAAATAGGGACTCTTGAACTAGTGTAAGCATTTATATACAGTTATTTCTGTCTTTAGACTTAAAATCTCCACTATTTTCCAAGACTTAGGTCATCTCTTTCTTCTCTACTCCCTTCAGCATGGTTATATGATTCCTTTACAACACAATTAGACTCATTTTTTTCAGTCTGCATGTCACTTCTTTTTGCCATGCTCTGGTTGATTTTTTAAATAAACTTTTTTTAATTGCTATAGGGCACATTTGCTTACCAGAGAGAGACAGAAGGAGAGAGGGAAAGTGATAAAACAGCCCCCCAGGTGGGATGGCCACACCACAACTCCCTTTCCTGCACTCTCCTCTCAGGATTTGGGGCACACATGCACACATGCCTCACATGATTTAGATGTCACCAGGTTCAGGACTCCAACTGCTGCACAGTTGGCCATGTAGTATCAAGCTGCCTTAACCTCCATGCTGCCAGCTGGCCCTTTAAAAATTTACTTTTTTGTGTTATGCAATTCCATGGGTTTTAACAAACATATAAAGTCATGCATGCATTTGCATAATTCCATAGAGAACTATTTCTTTTTTTTTTTTTTTGAGAGGTTTTTGCTATAGGGCGCGTGCGCTCGCCAGACAGACAGAGAGACAGAAATCGAGAAATCACCCCCCAGAAGGGATGGCTATGCCGCAATCCCTTCTCCATTCTCCTGTCGGGATCTTGGGCACACACACACGCGTCCGGAGTGAGTTTAAGCCACCGGATCTGGGACTTGAACCACGGTCGACTACGTGGGAGTCCAGCGACATAGCCATTACGCTAACGGCTGGGGCCCAGAGAAACCATCCCTCATCCACACATAGCCATTACGCTAACGGCTGGTCCCAAGAGAACCATTCCATCATCCACATAATTCTCCAGTGCTGTTGTTATAGACAATCTCTCTCCCTAACTACTGGCAACCACTAAACTGTTATATTCCCTAGTTTTACCTTTCTAGAATGTCATGTAAATGAAATCATACAACATGTAGTCTTTGGGGTCTGACTGACTTTTACTTAGCAAAATGTATTTAAGAATCATTCATATTGTTCCATGGATTAGTAGCTTGTTCTTTTTTAATGTTGAGCAGTATTTCACCGTATGAATGTAATAGAATTTGTTTACCCATTTCTTTTTTAAAGGTTATTTCTAGTTTCTGCCAATATGAATAAAGCTGCTATAAACATTTGTGTTCAGATTTTTGTGCAAGCATACATTTTACTTTCTGTAGGATAGATATTAGGAATGTAGGTTTTTGGGTCAAATGGTAGGTATAAGCTTAAATTTATTAAAAAACAAAAACAAAAATAAAAACTTACCAAACTGTTTTCCAAAATGGCTGTACCATTCTGAATTACCACCAGCAATGACTAGAGAAATTCTAACAGCATCTCAAATAAATCGTCCTTATAAAAGGACATTTCAGCAAAATTAAAAGTTTCTTGACATCACTGTCACAGGTCATACTCAAGGTCCCACAAAGCACTAATTTTCTCTTAAAGCCGTAATCTTAAAGAAAAAAAAAAGGATGAACAGACATACCTGAAGCTTGGTGATGATTTCCTGTTTTGTGAGCTCTACCAAATGGCTATCCTCTACTGCAAAAGCTGGGAAGGAAATCACTGAAAGTAGACTAGCATCAACCTCTTTGGATGTTGAAGCCCGGGGCAATAGTGAGTTAAGGATGGACTAAGAGAAAAGAAGTAAAATATGACACATTAGTAAATACCTCAGCATTAGTAAATACAACAACTTTCACTTCAAAAAAATGTATGAGATAGAATATCATTCAGAAGAAAACAAAATGATATATATTACTCAATGGTGAGAGATTAGAAAACTATTTCTGCAAATCATTCCTTGTCTTAATCCTGCTCTTAGTGTTTCCCCATTCTGATTTGTAAGTAGCTGCTCATGAATAGAGAATATTCTAATTAATCATTATCCTACTTGTAGTCCTGTTGCTACACCAGCAATTTGGGGTTGCTGGAAAATTCATGATGTATTTTTCTACACAAAAAATTCATCATGACTTTTCCAACGACCCAAAATTTAAGAGTGAAGTAGAAGAAAATGTAGCTGCTGAGAAGCAGGATGGGAAAGGCATAGTTTTTACATCTCTGACACATTTCCCTTACTATGGAAAATGTTATGTTTTTAGAAGGTGAGCTAATATTCACTGGGATACTGTGAATATAACCAGAGTTTGAAGAAGAGGAAAAAATTCATGCCAATGAGATGAAACTTAACCTTTTAATAGAGAATAATCCTAAACAAAACTGGAGATAACATATTTTACCACTTAAACAGTCTAATATACAAATATTTACCCCTAGAGCCAACCAGGGAGGGAGATCATAGCCCTTGATATGATAGCGGTGGAGAATTTCATATACTATGGCAGGGAACCCCCTAACATTCATATACTATGGCAGGATCCCTCATAACTTTTGGTGATGGAACAGGACTATAACTTATTTTATAGCCCAAGCTATATTAGGCTTATCTCAGTACTTAATGCTTGATAAAGACATCTTTGGCACGGGGTAGTAAATCAGATAATATACACTCATTCAGTTCTTCTTCATTTAAAGCCTATGCTAAATCTCAGTCTAGACAAGAACAAAGTTTGCCATACTGTGGCCCATTTTCCCCTACCTGACAGTGTTGTACTTCATCAGCCAGGACGTGGATGACTGATTGGGGCCCACCTTTAACTCCAAACAGGTCCAGTTCATCTAATGCTTCCAGGGCTGCCTGCAAGGAGCGAAGAAGGAAAGGAAAACTTCAGTACTGAAGTATTTCTTTTTCCTGTACCCAAGTATCTTATCAGTGCACATGATGTCACTTTTACTTATTTTTTAAAAGAATTATTTTATTTAATTTTTATTTATTATTCTTTTAATTTGACCAGAGAGAGAGAGGGAGACATAGAGAGAGAGAGAGAGAGACAGAGAGAAAGCGAGCCACCCAGTTGTATAATTTTCAAGCCACCCAGGTCCAGGACTCATACTGTGATTGGCCATGTGGGAGTCCAGCAACTTAAACACCACACCATCTGTTGGCCCCTACTTATGTTTAATAGAATAGAAAATAATATAACATTCTTTATTCCTAGACACTTCTGAGTTTTTCTTTACCTCTAGTATTGTCTCAGGGACAGTTAAAATGGGGAGTCTGTAGCACTACAGCAAGTCAAGCATCATGCTTTAAAAATAATTTTAACATTGCAGATGAATAGTAGTAACACTTTCTTTAGGCGAGGGAGTTCCAAGTAAGATAGCAACATATAAGTAATGCTAGAAGTTGTAGGAGTTGGAT